GATCAGCTTCGATGACAGCTTTATCGTATAGTAATCCGATATCAGTGGTTTCGCCAAATGTCAACTTCTTGGGGAGAAAAGAGCGTATGTAACATTTTAGATCGACATCGCCAAATGTATAGGGTGTCCTACGTTTCCTTCGAATTATTATAAAGTTCATAGCAAACTTTTTATACACTGTTCATGTTTTAAATACTATTAAAATATTAGTATCTGAGTTGTGATGATTATTAGTACTAACTAGAACTAGCATCAATTCAATACCGACATAAATTGAAATTATAGCAATCAATATATTTATTTCTTTCAACACCAATATTAATAACCATATATGAGTTATCCGTTAAAATAGAAAATAAGTACTATTTAAGCATAAATTATAAATATAAAACTATTAAGGACACCAACAACATTATTATTACCATTACCAATACCCACATCATTACCAATTCCAGTAAATTAACAACACCAGTACCATTACGCATATCAATACTATTATTAATATCAGTATCAAAATCAATATCTAAAACAATACCATTACTTATTGATACTTATATCAGTAAGAATATCGGAATCAATACAAGCAAAAATATCAATATCACTATGATTACGAAAAGTTACAAAGTTTTTTATACAATTAGCAACACCAGTACCATTACCAATATAAAACAATTAACAATATAAATCTAGTACTATTTTTAGTAGAAAAAACAATTTCTGTGCAGTTACCAAAATTAGTACCATTACCAATATCAATGCCATTACTATTAGCAGTACCTATTTTATATCATTACCAGTACCATTACTTACCAATACCAATACCAATATCAGTACCAATATCGGAATCAGTACAAGCAAAAATGTCAATTTCACTATCAATACGAAAAGCAAAGAAAATATTAATACAAATACCTCACCAATGAGCATATCGCAAACCCCTACACTTTCCATTACCACTCTTTTTTAATATTATTTTCGCAGAATATTTACACTTCGATCCACAATGCAACCATTACTTCACTGAGTCTCGTCAATCACTACCTGCAATATTTGCGACCAAACTCCGTACGGTTGTTGGGCTCAATGATTTCCCCATTGTTCTTGCTTTTGTTGCCGTATTTTAAACAGTTTACAGTTGAGTGCCAACGTATACAACAAAGTTGAAAACAAACAGATAGACGTGAGAAGTCGTACTCTCACACACACACACACACAAACGCGCGTGTAAGCGCACGCAGACAGTGGCATGAACAAATAAGCTTGGCAAACAAGCGATCGGTGGCGTAAAAGTAGGACAATAGAAGCAAAACCGTGCCAAACAGAAAACTAGTTGGGCCCCAAAAGCCACAGGCACCCACAGCGACTGGACAGCGCGACCGGCTCCTTGCGTAGAGCTACCTTATGAAAGGGGGCGGAGGTTTTGCAACGAGTTTGGACAGCAGATTTTTGTTATGTTTTATCATTTGTATTGTTGTTGTGCGCTCTTTTTAGCGGTTTGGCTTGCACAAATTCTGCGCTGCTGCGCCGCACGCTTTAGCCCGGCTTTATTTATTTTCCACATTTTTTGCGCAAACCTCTGGCCGCGTCATCACGGTTAGTGTGGTGTGATGTGCTGTGGTGGACGCCAGGATGTGTGGCAGTGCGTGTAACCTGCAAGAAAATCCATAAAATATAAAATGCAAATTTATTTATGTGCGTTCGATGCCAAAGCGACATTGGCTTAGCGCAAGGGTTGGCAGAAGGATTCTAGCAATATCGATATGCATACTATGCCACAACGAGAAGCAACAGCCAAACGAAGAGTCGAATGCCCGCATCAACCTTTTAAATCGAACATGGGTCGAGCGCGTACACGGACGGACACACACACAGACTCGCAATTAAAGTGGAGGCCGATGGGGTGGGTTTGCCTTCAAATATTATCGGCCAAATTGGCATTGGCGTTGCTGTTGGTGTCTGCGCGCTGCTCCATGTTGTGCTGTGCTGTGCTCTGAAGCGCTGTAAATAATGACCAAGCGAATGCGTTTTGAAAGCAATAAGCAGGAAATCAATGCGCACACCATTACAAGGCACTGGACTGAAAGAAAGGTGCGGGCGCGCCAAAATAACAAGCAATAAATGGCAAAGGATTTTGATATTGGGAATAATTGGGTGATAATTAGAAAGCAAGCGCACTAAGCGAATTCTATATTAATGCCACTCGCACATTTGTTGTTGGTTGGTGGTGGTGAAGCGACGGCGGCATTAGCGCTCGAACCACACACAATATGTGTGCGTATAGGCACTCGACTGCCTGCTGCGGCGCCTACACGCATTTGCGGCCGAACATATTTTACGATTTTAGCAAAAGTTTTGTTGCTGTTCTTGTTGTTTTGCTTTGTTGCATGAAATCGGCGCTCGTAATTTCTCAAGCGCGACGTGCTTAGAATTTAAGAAAATTCGTTTGTGAAATATTGTTGCTGTTCTATTAAAATTGAGCGGTTAATTTATTATAATTCGCCTGGAAATTTATGCGACTGTAAATGAGTGCGTCCTTATTTGGTTTTTGTTTTCGGCAACCTTAAGCTGTGGGATTTTTTATTTTGTGTTACAGCTTTGTGAAAGCTGCTTGTTGCCACAAAAATGTTTGGGGGAGGAAACTTTAATTATAACTTAAATTTTTAATTTACATAAGAATCTTTTATTAATAGTAGTAGGGGAATTCGAGGCTTTAAGCCCGCTGATTATTCAGCCAACCCTACTTCTTCAATAGATAGCGCTGTTTTTCGTAAAACGAACACACGAGCAGCGCTCGTAAAACACTAAGTAAGCGAAAATTCTCGGAAAAAATCTAAGTTTATCGTACAGAACGCCAGTTTTGACTAAACGTCAAAAGGTCGCTGTAACTGACCGTTTTGAGTGTTCGACAACTAAAGTTTGGCTTAGAGCCTCAATTACCAGTTGAGGTAAAATCAAAAAAATAATGCTTCTTAAGCTTCGGATCCTAACTGTTATCATTGTTATTTTACCGGCAGAAAACACTTCTCAAATCATTTTAAGGAACTGCTGTCGAGTTTCAAGTCCTTGGCCGGATAAAAACCCTCGGCCATTCCGGTTTCGTATTCCGTCAATCGGTTCGTCAAACTTTCAATGGTATTACTAAAATTCTTTTTACAAAAAAAATTCTACAATTAACAGATCCTGAAAATTGTTAGAAGCAAATATATACGTATGTATATATAGGTATATACTAGGAAGTTTCTTCAATATAGTTTTCCTTAAAAAACGAAAATCAGTAAAGTTATCAGTATGAAAAGTAAGGAATTCAGACAATCGTGTACCGCCTTGTTATGATAAGTTGTGATTACAGTTTTGAGGACATTCGATTTTTACATTTAAATATAATATATAATATATTTTATAGGGGGTGTCCGTCGTTTACTTCTGTGTGTTACAAAGTTCGTGGCGAACGTAATATACCCTGTTCAGCATAAAAATTTAAAAGATTGATGCGAACGAAACTGTGTATCAATTCTGCAATCGTAACAGTTATAAATTCAGCTCGTTCCAAATCAACATTTAATCATTTTTTTCTCGTTCATATATGATTATCTCATTGTTTAACTGTGCTCTAAGCTTGACGATTTCTCCTTGTGAAGCGAGCCTTTCTCTGCTGCTGTGTTTGCTGAGCACGAAGTCGGCCCGTACTGCGCCCTTCTCATGAGAGTTTTCGTTTGCCTTCAGTAGATTGCTTCGTAATGTTACGAAGTCAAATTGTTCAGAAAAAAATTTAACTCCATATCAATTTTTAGAAATAATTTGAATTATTGGGAGCAACTAATACGCTACTTGTCTTCGTGTTGCATTTTTCACGATACCTTATAATGGCAAGCATTCACTTCATGCTCAGGTAGCTTGGTTATCAGTATAGACCTTTGACAAAATATAGCCTAATAATGTTAAGGAGTTTTTGAAGATGGTTTGGCGATAAAGCTTTAAATTCTGTTGCACCGAAGATAGGAAAAAAGCGAACTTCTATAAAGATCTTTATCTTTGTACTATATATTGATGTAGTGATCTGATCAAAATAAACGGAGACTTTAGTGTGCCTTGGACAATAGACCATGCCGAACTTCTTGAAGATATCTGGTCAAATAAAAAACTTTTCCGTACAGCGACTTTATTTTGATCGATCAGTTTGTATGATATCTATATCACATAGTAGACCAATGGCGCCGAGGAAATGAAGTTTGCAAAATTTCAGATCGAAATCTCAAAAACAGAGTGTAGACCCCTATATGCAGATCGAGAGACAAACCGACATGGCTAAATTGACTCCCTTGGTCACTCTGATATTTATGTATATATAAATACTTTACAGCCTATCTGACGTTTTCTTCTGGGTGTTATACATTTCGTGGCAAACAGGGTATATTACTGTTCAGGATATAAATATAAAAGTAAGACTGGCGCACAGAACGTGAATTTTGGGAATAATTTGCGATATTTAAGCGTTCTAAAAATGTACTGCTAAAGTCTACTTAACATATATAATATATCAAACACAAGTGTACACTTCGCCAGCTGATTTGACAGTTGTCCCTCTAGGAAATTGTATGCCTATAAAAATACAGCCCATATATTTTCATAATAAATCTTTATATTTTACCGTTTACTTCTGGCTAATTGTTAAGTAGTTTGTACATATAGACAAAAAACTAACTGCCTTCTAAATCAAGTTCACACTCCAGCGGATAAGAAAAAAATTGCTGCTAATTCATCGAGACACGACATGAAACTTCGCACATTTGTCTTTATCTCTTAAATACTTATATGCATGTGTGTATTTGTAGACAGTAAAAGTAAGGCAGTAAGTGTGCTTGACAGAGCAAAAACTAATCAGTCGATTCCGCAAAACTTGGCGATATGAGTTGAATTATCGCCATCTTATACATATATATATATATACATTAAGTACATACGTATATATTTATATATAATATTTTTTCAACCACTTGCAGGTTCAGCCAAGCAACTGGAAAATACGGAACTCTCCAACGGCATTGTCCAAGACGAACCAGAGATAATCGCCCAACAGACCGATAAAGTCGATATACTGCTACATTGTATTAAATCATCAACGCGTGATGCCGCCTGGATTTATGGACAAGTGTTGTGCCAAATTATACGTGATTTAGTGCCACCGAATGAAATATTGACGAAGGTCATAAAAGAGTTTCTCGCCATAAATCAACCGCATTGTGATGTTATTGCAATGATTGTGTATCAGGTAAGTCGTGCGAACGACCAAGCAAACACACAAACCTACATACACAAGTAAAACTAAATATAAATATATATGTATATGTATGTGTGTGTTTTTAGGTGTTTGTGTTGTATATACAGTAATAGAAGTACTGCATCATTCGAGCGCTTTGAATATTGAAGTTTTGGAATCCGCAGCTGTGTTGTATCGTTGCGGCATTGTTGCATGTTGCATGTGCGGCAAAAGAGGGTCACAAATATAGTACAGCACTGTGGACAATTCGTGTGTGCTGCATATGAAGATTTCTTATGTGCACATATGTATGTATATAAGTATGTGTGTCCAAGTATCTAGCTTGAGTGGGCGCGTAGGTTATGACTCGTTGGCGTTATACACACAAATGCATGTAGTTGAGTCACCTTTTGGAGTCGTGTGCTGTTTTATATAAAATTGAGTTGCACTCTTCATTTTGATGTTTTACCTGTACAATCGTTTAGTTCCATTTTGCAACCGCCTGTCTGCACACGTCTCTATATTTCGCAGAACATAAATGGCCATTCATTTGTAGATGCCACTTTTATTGTAGAAAATAAAAGCAGTCCGGGACATATCTGAAAGTGTGTGTATAATAAAGTTAGCTAAGAATACTAAAACTAAATTCTAAGTTGCGAGAAATACCGAAATTGAGTGTATACACTTAAGATCAAATATGATCCGAACTGGTCTGTATAAATTTCACGCGCAAGCCGAATCGTCACATATTCCTATATTGGTAGAACCTTTTTATATAATTATTCTGTAGACCAAAACCAAAAATAATTTTGTATCGCAATGCATTTCTAAAGTTTCCGGGAAACTGTTGTCTTATGTTCAGCACGTGTATTATGTGCCAAGGTTAAAAAAACCTACGGTTAAACTAATCCTTCTATTCCATTAAGTTCGATTCGTTAAAGACTTCATTGATTTTAATATGAGCTTAACAATGAGCTGATGCAATTATTAACTTTCTATGTAAATTAGGGATCGAGTCTGTAGTGTCTAGCTTTTTCTATCTACGTTTGGGAATTGAACCATCGGCCAGGAAATTTATTTTTTCATTCCTACCTCATTCTACGCGTAAACGTAATTTTGAATGAGTTGGCAGACATTGTGAGAGATTGGTATCTCTAGCTTGTCTGAACTTAAAAGTATTACACCTGTTGACACGATTTTTTGGTTCTGACTTCTGCAAGTTAAATTTTAGTTTCTCCTACTCCAAAAATAAGAGGAAACAAATTTTTTTTTGCTTAAATTTTGCTTTTGTAGAATTTTTTTCGTATTTTTTATATTTGTATAGGCGAGTACGAAGGCATCTGATTCGTATTAAAAAAAAGCATATTTTAAGAGCTAAAAATAAAAATTTCAATGCTTTTAATGCCTGGAATCAGAATTTGAGCATGAAAACCTAAACTAAAAAAAAAAAAATTTTGTTTATGTTTTTTGAGCGGTGTTATTCGGAAGATGGTTCAAAACTACGTGATAAGCTTGGCATGAAAGTTGAAGCATTGAAGTAGTAACTTGTAGTAGATGCCATTCAAAATCCTTAACCAGTTCGTGACGCAATTCAATTCGCAGATGCTGATGAATTCGTTATACAGTAACCTGGATCCCAAACATTCTAAATATTCTGGGTACTTGGTGTATAGTGCTAGAAGTGTTATCCTGCAGAAGATCCTAAACAAAGCAAGGAAGTTTCGACTTCGCTGAACATGTGAGCTTTCGGTGCTCTGGAGATCGCTGGGCCATTTGAATTTCAAGACAAAGTTTATTACCCCGCAGTTAAGTTTCGACTCAGAGAAAAAAGAGGTTCTGCATAACTTTTGGGTTTAACTAGAATTAAAGCGTATTCGTGATAAGTTAAATTAAAACTTTCAGCTTTCGTTCTGACTTGTAACCGTGGTTAATTCAGACGGCCGACTTGATCTCTATTGTAATTGTATGTATTCTACGTAGCCAAATCAGCCAGGAAGTCTACAAATGAAGGATTTGGAAAATATTTTCTGGTTTCAGCCGAACAGCTTTATAGTTTAGGTGTACAGACAACTCGGCGGTCAGTGTGATAAATGAGTATTTTTTCCTAGGAGTTTTAACTAAAGAATTTTTCCTGCATAACAAGAAGCATTGATAGTATCTATTCCCTACTGGGCACTTAGTATATAATTTCTCTCATAAGACGTTTACTGTGTGTGAACCATTTGCGCCTAACGGTTTGCCGCTACTAAATCGTGAAACAAAACAATGAAATTTACTAAGCTCTGCGCAAATATGGTAAATCGCGGTGCGCCACTTCAGTCAAGGCACCTAAACACACTCACACATACATATATATTTTTATTCGTGCCTGTGTGCAACACCTGCCACATACGCGACGATAGGAGCACAAATACATGTATATATATGTGTGTGTGTGCAAACACTTATGCAGTTTTTATATTTGGGTAAGCGTGCTCACATTCCTGCCCCGCTTTGTAACCACACGGTTTGGGCGGCGTAAGAGGCAATAGCAGTCTTCATTAGTCTAATAAGCGTGCACAACGAAGTTCAAGGTTGCAAATCTGAAGCGTGCGAGAAATATGCAATAATTTCTTTTTTTTTTAGTTTCCTTTCGTTCGGTTGCTAACTTTTGTTTTATTGGCGCTTTTGCTTTTACTTTTCATTTTTTATTCGCATTTAAGCGCGCAGCTTCTGGCTTGTTAGCTTTTAATCTTAATTTTCGGTTTTACATACATTTTTTTTTTTGCTTCTATTTTTTGCGTAATTTTTTCTGCTTTTTTGTAATTTTTTGTTTGTTTTTTTACCTAGAAATTGTGTTAGGTTTTATTTTCGCAGCACTTACAGTTTACAGCTCTCAGTTTTGCTATCTGGAGCGCAGCAAATGCGTTTAATTCGCGTTCCAGCTTACAGTTTATGCATTTCAATTTTAAATATTTGCCTTGGAAATTTCGCTATTGTTGACTTTTCGCATTTGGCGCTGGCAATTTCTTAGCAGCACTCGGCTACTTGCTGCATTTTAAGAATACGAGGCATACTTACAGGCGCTGAAGCGGCAGCAGCTGGCCTTAAGTAATGCTGCGACTGCTCTAGTGCCCTGCCACTCACTTACGTACCCACTCACCTACATACACACACACACACACACATAAACGTACATACTTTTAAATGTATGAGTGTGCTCCACTTGCCCAGTTGTTGTTGCCGCCACTTGGTTGCAACAAACACCCAATTTAGTTGTCGTCTTGATTTTTCGTAATTTGCCGTTTAAATATTTTCCGTGTCGCTCGCACACACTCTCATATTACTCATCGTCTTTACAAATTGCTGAAAGCGGCTACATACACACACACATATACGTTCAACGTTGTACATTCGACATACAACATTCAACATGCAACATGCGGCATGCAACATTCTTTGCGCTCCACTCAATGTGAAGCATTCAACATTTAATTTCCTTAGCGTTTTTGTCAGCTTCCTTTTGCAGTGCAACTCACTTGATTTACTGGCGAACACACGCACGTACATACACATACACTTGCAGCCATTTTAACCTAAAATTTTCAGCTCACAATATAAAATATAATTTTTGCAACTAATTTTTCTTGTAAATGCACTCATTCATACAAATCTCTGCTCTTTCCCACTCTCTCAAACGTTTTTCTTGCTTCTCAACAGGTTTTCCGCTGCGCCATCGATTCAACATTCTTGCAAGTGTTGCAAGACTGGCTCATATGCTCGCTGCCCACATTCCTGGCCTTACCTGAACAAAAAGCTGTCTGGTGTCTGAGCGTCATCTTTTTATCCGCTTCCATAAATCTGCATTTGATTAAACTATTTCCGGTGTTGCTGAGCACCGGTGCTGCCGCAGCTGCCACAGCAGTTTCAACAACGGGCGTTGCAGGCGCTAGTGGAGGCGTTAGTAATCTTGATGCTACGACGGCAGCTGGTCGTACGCTCAGTGCTGGAGCCGGTGCGGGTGATGGTGGTGCTGTTGGAGAATTCCATAAATTGGGTCAACATGAAATTGCTTTGTTCGTGACAGCTGCCGTAGATTTTCATGCGAAATTGAGTGCGGAGCAGCGGCTGCGTTTCCGTGATGCCTTTGAGAAATGCTCACACCGGCAAACGGTTTACGCCCAGCTGTTGCAGAGTCTCTGATTTAGTCACGCATAGTGTCAGCAACGGCAATGAAATCAGCCAATAACCCATTTTTATTGTTGTTGTTGTTATTGCAGTTGCCATTATCGTTATCATTGTAGCCGTAATATGCGTATTAGTTGAGCGATGTTGCCGGTGTGGCGAGAAGCATAAATGACCTGCACAAGCGTGCTGTTGCACTTTTGTTTGCCTGTGTGTGTGTGTTAAAATCTGTATACTTGTATGTGTGTTTAAATGAGGTCCTTCTTTCATCATCGTGTTGCTGGCAGCTTTGGCAGCAGGTTTAATTTAATGGTTAATATAACGGTAAACCACTTATAAATATATGTATATAGGTAGGTATACCCTCACAGATAAGCGCTGCGGTTTCATTAAGTTGAAAGTGTATACAGGTAATCTAATTTGTTGTTGCTTTTGTTTTATTTCGGTGGCTGTTTTTTCTGTGTCGAGCAGAGTTGATTTATGCAAGATTTATGAAATGAGTTTTTAGGTTAGAAAATTGTATTTGAAGTGCAAAATTATTATATGTATGTATTAAGATAAAGAATGAAAGAGTATTTTTCGCTGGTTGGCTGGCTGGTGAGGATAAGGGTAACATCAGTAAATATAATTTAAAATTTAAAATTACTTTCCCCCCTCCATCTACTACTACTTATACTTTATCTGCAAAATATTATTGTGAAAATCGACAGATCGTTGCCACACATTTTCCTAATTGAACAAAATATAATATTCCTTAATTGTATTCAATTTAGCATATAATAAGGCAATTAACTAATTGCGCCGTTATTTATTTATTTGGCAATTTACTAATGTAAAAGTCCTATGCAAAATAAAATACCATTTTGACAGCTGTCAGATACTATGTAATTGTTTAAGGTGTCTGCAAAATATTTTTATGAAAGCAGAAAAATCGGGAGAGAATAAAAATCAGTAAAGAAATCGGCAGTCCATAACCGACTCCGAATTGGCAGTAACTCATCTTAATTGTTCTCAATTTAGCATATAATGAGGCAATTAACTAAATGCGTTGCCAAGCATTTTCCTAATTGAACAAAATATAATATTCCTTAATTGTACTCAATTTAGCATATAATAAAGCAATTAACTAAATGCGCCTTTAATATTTATTTAGTTGACTATTAACTAATGTAAAAACCACATGCAAAATAAAACACCATTTTGATAACTGTCTGATACTAAATGCTTAAAGGGGTAAGCGCCTTCAAGTACGCCATAACTAGGACAATTTACGCTGAGAGTGAAGAAAAAAGGAATCGAACATCTTTCAAGAGTTTAAATATTCTAGCGAAAAAATTAGCAGTATTTAGTTTAAAAAAAAGTTGCAGTTTACTAAGTAATATTCCTCTGAAGCTACAGCTAAGATTTCAAGTAGATCGAGAAAATGACTACAGCGGCTTGTACGATGTTTAATTTTTTCTACTATTCTGTCAATTGAAAATTGGTTTCGGAACCCTAAAGTGTACTTTAAGCCAACTTTTTTTAAATTTATTTTAGTTCCTACATTCGCCTAAACCCTTAAGCTTAATTGAGTATATTTAAACACGTAAAACATTGAGTTAATTTACATCCTAATTAGTTGACTTTTTTTGACCTATTTAAACAAACCAGTAACTCAAAAATATTTAAAATATTCAAATAAAATTTTAGTATGGTATTTTTAAAAGTATTATATAGCTGTAAAGACCAATAAATATGCAAAAAAAATGTTTTAGTGTGTACCCCTTTAAAGCTTTTGCAACTTAAATTCATGTTGTTGCTATTGCTAAGACTCTTATGTAGTTTTTATGCAGAAAAATAAGTGCTGTGGTACTGCTCTAGTAGTAGGGTAACTGCTTACTGCGCATTTTGTTTGGCTTTCTCATTTAAATTTTGAAAGGAAAAATTAAAAAAAATATTTTTAGATTTAAGAAAGCAAAATAAGTATGTAAGTAAGGTGTTAATAATTACCTCTTTATCAAATGGCAATGGTTTGAAAAGTGAGATCAATTGAATATTCCAAATTTTATTTACACCTAAATTAAAATCGATAATTTTTGATCGTTAGGAAATTTTAAGTAATGATAGCTGGAAAAATAAGAAGCGGTACGTTTTTTTTATTGAACGTAATAAAAAACATATATATTATTATGTAATTAAAGCACTCGAAGATTCTAAAGCAAAATATTCACGGCCCCCTATTACTTTAAAGTTTGAGTAGATTTATGCTTATTACCTTAGATTATTTAGATAGAGATATTTGCTTGAAATAAATAACTAAGCCAAGCTTACAAGTTTTGAAACGACTGACTACAAATCTATATAAACGAAAAACATGTCCTCTTGAGTAATACATTATAACACTGTTCAAATAACGCCCGCACATATTCTCCGTATTGATCGTCTTCCGTTATTTTAATTTCCACGCTACGTACTTCTAAATATTATTTAAGTTTCGTTTAATTGTGCTGCTCGACTAAAACTCGTATTTACAGTGCGTAAATGGCAACAACTTTTCCTACAAACGCAAAGACACACACACACACAAGTATGAACAACCGCAGTCCTCAAATATTTTCCACAACTTGTTGTAGTTGCTGCCACAAGTTGAGTGAAAAGCAAAAGTTACTGCATACATTTTTCTTCTCCTAACGTTCCCAGTGCTATTTGAAAATTGTCTAAGATAAAGACAAGCGTGAATAACTAATTGCCAAGATTGGCAGCAGCAGCAGCAGCGGCACAAGTGGAAATTACGCTGGACGACGACAGATGAGCCTACATATATGTAAATAAATTTAGTGGTACTATATACCATAGATATGCAAGAGCTAGTTGCGGGACTGCACGTCAACGACTTGGCCTACACTCATCAACCAAGTCAATCCAACAAGCGAGAGATCTCGGCAACCAAAACTTGAGCGCTGCAAAGCCACTATCACTCTAAATTTCTTAACACCACTTCACACCAGAACCACGTAGCGTGCACCGCTGACGGTAGCAGAAATCAAGAATCCACAATCCACCGTCCCCAGCAACTGTCCACAGTCTGAAGTGCTCAAATGTCGCCAGCTCGCCACACTGGACGTCTTGACTGGTTTGGATGGCCGCGCTGCTCGTAGCACCATCTCTCAACGCGGATTCTCTTTTTTTCCGCGTAGAACCCTGCCTTTGCCCACCAAATCTCGTCTTTGCGCTTGGAAACTGTTGAATTAACTGCGCTGCACACGTCGAGTAAGCGCCAGCGTCTGTGCACTCGTCGCAGCGTCTGTCAATGCGAATGATAAAAGTTTTTAATATTTCGCTCTTTTCTTTCGTTGTTTTTGTTAGTCAAGAATTAAAATTAATTTATGTCATACGTATATATATATATTTAGGTCTGTCTCTATGTACCGCTCTGTAGAATTAAATGTATGTATCAATGCGCTGTGTAACTAATATTAAAATTGTTGAATTGTAAAGCGAGTTCAACATGGCGCGTAAGAGCGCGGAAGAGTGGTAACGTAAAATATAATGATTAGCAAGTTTTTAGTTGCGTGCGCCAAGTGGCGGCAGTGAGCGCAGGGCTATGCGGTATGTGGGGTGTGGCTGTGTGAAAGCGCCGTTGGCAGCACTTGAGTGAAATCAAAAAACTTTTGCAAAATTGTTATTTGCCTAATAAGAAAGCTCGCCGCAGCCGAGTGACCTCGGTTGCGAATGGAAGTTGATTTAGTTTTTGCGGTTTGTCAAAGTAGTTAGTGTGAATGGGTTTTTGTTTGCTTAAAGATAACAAATTTGAATTGAATGGGCTTTAGAAAATTTCTCAAAGCAATCCAAGAAGAAATACAGTAATAGACATTCAAATACGTAAACATAAATTTACTATAAATGCAAGAAGAAGGTAAAATGTAGCAGGAGTCTGTGTATTTGTTACTACGTGATAATAAAGCGCCTAAAATTAATTAAAATATGAATATGAAAACTATTTTTCGGCTAAAGAAATCTCATTTGGTTGAAATTTTATTGAAAACTTTTTTTGTAAAAGAAAGTTGAAATGTGTATTATGTGAAATATGCTAATTGTAAAAGAAACTAAATAATGTAATTTTTATAAAGTAAATTCCAAAAGTATCACTTGTAATCACCATTAGTGTTATACACTATTAACTACATAGTTGATATACAAGTATATATGTAGATATGTACGTCTGTAGGTATTACAAGTATGAAAGCTTAACAAAAGTGTGAATTTATATATATATTAGGGTGATCTTTAAACAATCAAACATGACAAAAACGTTAATTTCGACGCACTGAAGCTACAATACGCTTCACAGGTTGCATTTCGTATAGCATAAAATGATATAAAATATCTTTATATTGATTTGGAGCGGTCAGTTTGTATAACAGCTATATGCTATAGTGGTCCGATCTGTGCATTTTCTTCGGAAATTGTAGTGATGAATAGAATAATAATCTGTGTCGAGTTTCGTGACGATAACTTGTCAAATACAAAAGCTTTGCATACAAGCACTTGAGTTCGATTGTGCAATTTGTATGACAGCTACATGCTATAGTTGTCCGATATCTGCGGTATCGTTTTTCTTGAAACGGTATTTTCAGAGTCGGTGAGTAGAATTTCTCTAAAAAGCGGCTAACGCGATCGACTTTACATTTTCACATCATCTGCTTGGATATATTTGTCAGTTAATTGTCGAATGAATGCGGTTTTTGTTATCAACTACGATTTTTTAAACAACTCTGAAGCGTAAATTTTTTCACAAAAATCGACTTTTTTTTTTTGGAAAGCTCACCTTGTCATAAAACTTGATGTCCTACCCGGTTCCATTCCATAGGAATAAATTACTTATGTTAACTGGGATTACAGTAGTAGCACGCATAACAATTATCTTCGTATATTTAAGGCCCACCCTAATATATATTGATTATAATGGTCAACTTAAATTCTTATTAAACAAAATTTATATACTAGCATATAGTATATACTTTACATAAAATTTACACATTCCCATGTATGTCATTAAAAGAACTAAAAATTTCTTGAAAGTTTCCATAAATCATCAATTTAATTTAAATTTTTCATAAACGTCAATGCATAAATGAACAATCCTAGCGATAAAACACTATTATATATATTTATTTTATCATAACAAATTATTAACAACAACTAATTAAACGCAACTGTATGCTTCCCAATTTCGTGTATTGCTGTTAAAATAAAATGTATATTATTGAATAAATTATGCAATTTAATTGAATAAAAAATAATAATAATCAATTATGCTCTTTGTTGTTTTTACTATTACGCATTAGGTGTTGAATAAGGGTTAAAAATAACACTTTGAACCATAACAAATATTTTTCGCTTTAAAAATGGTGAAAATTGGCAAACTAAATAAGCTACTTATTTATGTAGTTGCTTTCCAATGAATTTTTAAAACTATATACTATTTTCATGAAATTAATTGTTGAATAAACTCAAAAAAAAAACAATAAATGTATTAGCTCTCAATTAATAAATGCTTTTTATAATTTTCAATTGAAATTTAGTAATACTAAGCATGGTATCAGCAAAGATTTCATCACATACATTTCAATTTCGCATATTTTTCTGTACGATTTCAATCTGGTCGTCCCTCTTTTTCCAATTGCTAAACGTCAGACCTTCTAAACTTTGACAGTTGCCTGAGTGCAGAAGGTTTTGACGTTTAGCAAATGCGCTCTCATTTTCAGTGAGTGTAATAAGAATAATAAGTTTGAGACTTGATATCCTTTAAATATCTGGAAAATACCGCGGTAATGGTGGCCCCATATTTTGTTGTGGATTCTTGTGGAACATTATTCATTTTTTCCGAAAGAAAAGTTGTCAACCGCTCTGATTTTTTATCAGCGAAGTTGATGTTAAATTCGTCAGTCAAGATAAATGGAAATTTATGACTATTGATAATCCGATTGAAATACCTAATATCAATTGTATTGTTCAAATCAAACGAGATACTGTTCCAAAGGTGGGATAGTTATTTACCAAAATAATAATAATGTTACTAATATAATATTATGACTCCGAATATTAAATAATTTTTTTATACTCTCGCAACCTGTTGCTACAGAGTATAATAGTTTTGTTCACCTAAGGTTGTTTGTATCACCTAAAACTAATCGAGTTAGATATAGGGTTATATATATATAAATGATCAGGATGAAGAGACGAGTTGAAATCCGGGTGACTGTCTGTCCGTCCGTCCGTCCGTGCAAGCTCTAACTTGAGTAAAAATTGAGATATCTTTATGAAACTTGGTAGACATGTTTCTTGGTACCGTGAGACGGTTGGTATTGCAGATGGGCGTAATCGGACCACTGCCACGCCCACAAAACGCCATTAATCAAAAACAAATAACTTGCCATAACTAAGCTCCGCAATAAGATACAAGACTGTTATTTGGTACACAGGATCACATTAGGGAGGGGCATCTGCAGTTAAAACTTTTTTTAAAAAGTGGGCGTGGTCCCGCCTCTAATAGGTTTAATGTGCATATCTCCTAAACCGCTAATGCTATAATAACAAAATTCACTAGAAGCAAATGTTTTTAGCACTTCTATTGACAGTGTTAAAATAGTTGAAATCGGGTGGCAACTCCGCCCACTCCCCATATAACGGTACTGTTAAAAACTACTAAAAGCGCGATAAATCAAGCACTAAACACGCCAGACACATTAAATTTTATCTCTGAGATGGTATAAATTGGCTTTATAGGAACCGCGTTCAAAATTAGTCAGTGGGCGTGGCACAGCCCACTTTTAGGTGAAAACCCATATCTTGAGATCTGCTCAACCGATTTCAATCAAATTCGGTGCGTAACGTTCTTTTCATGTTTCTATGTCATAGTGCGAAAATGGGCGAAATCGGACTACAACCACGCTTACTTCCCATGTAACACCATTTTCAATTCCATCTGATTCTTTCGCTTTCCACTATGCAAATCAGGTAACAATGATTATATCGGGGTAAAACTTTGCGTGAATAATGCAATTAAAGTATGCCACCTTGCGGCCAAAAATTGTCTTAATCGAACCAAAACTGTTCAAACCCCTAAGTACTAAATATGTGAACCCCAGTGCCTATAGTTGACCTTCTACCGAAAATATCAGTCAATCCACAAAGAAATCTCAAACGAGTATACCATTTGACTTTGCGAGAGTATAAAATGTTCGGTTACATCCGAACTTAGCCCTTCCTTACTTGTTATTATTAATAAAGTTTTTATTAAATTCCATATTTTTATTTGCCATTAAAAAAATTATAATTGCATATTATATATGAATCAATCTGTACTTCAGTTGATTTGTTTCGCTTGAGTTATGCGAAAATACGCCCAAAAGTATACAAAAAAATTTCGCATACTTTGTGATCGTGTTAGGTTTTATTTCGTTACGGAATTTCTTGATTCAGTAACCGTACTCAAAGCCTACGATAGAAGCTATGTAATAGCTTAAAAGCATTAACAAATCATCTGATCACTGATAAAATTGAAAATATCCTCAGTAAACAGTTACGTAAATAACTTATATACTACGAAAAGATGTATATCATATATGTTGGGATATTCAAACAAAGTATATCAGGCGGTAACTTATCAGTTCCCGGAAAGGTAATTGTTCGGCATTCAAGCTGAGCAAATGTTTGGATTTCCAGGTGATATTGGTCCTCGGTGCTCAACTAGATGTCCTTGGAGGTGCTTCGGATGTATTTCAAAGTACAGCGGAGGTCGAATTTGGATCTGTTACAGAAGCAATGTTTTTAGCATTGGCGGACGTTGCTGCTAGAGTGGTAGTTTGGGCAACATGATTTTGCAAACCCAGTGGTTGGTTTAGTTACTCGTCCGAACTGTCATGATCGCTTGGTTCGATGTTATAGGTCGAATTGGCAATGTCGTCATCATCTTATTGTAAAAACTAGAATACAAATTCAAAAACAATGAAAAAGTAAAAATTAACTATAGATACGAGGTTTGTTCAAAAATTATCGCAGGTTTTGAATTTTCGCGGACTACGTGTATTCGATTTTTGATTAGTTTGTTGCGTTGTGTATGTACTCATATCTCGTACTTATACTGACAAGGTCGGACATTTTGGTCATAACTGGCGACGAGGTTTAGTTCTTGCCAAAGGGTCGTACGGTCAATAAAGAATATTACCTGCATGTTATGCGCAATTTGCGCGAGCAATCCGCTAGAAAGGCCCGATTTGGCGGAAGAACAAAAATTGGCTTTTGCACCATGATAACTCTCATGATCATGCATCGCGCAGGCCTAGCCCCTTATGACTTTTTTTGTGCCCAAAACAGAAGAGGCCCCAGAAGAGGTGTTCTCAAGTATAGACTGTTATAGCATATTATATATAGACTGCGCTTAATTTCAGTGAACTATTACCAGGTCGTTACAAAATGCATATACGTTATGGTCACCAAATCTATATTTATGCGTAAACCTCTAGTTAGTAAAGGCTATATCTGCTCCTCTCATCATTATAACCATTTGTTGTTTATAGTGGTAAAAATCTCTGTATGAAGACATAGAAGATATTGTATTAAAAAAAAGAAAATGAGTTGACTTCGGCCGCACCGAAGCTAGACTACCTGGCACGAACAAAAAAGTCTCAATACAAAAACTTGATTTTGATCGGTCAGTTCGTATGACAGTTATATGCTTTTTAGTGGTCCGATCTCAACAATACGTTCGGTTGTTGTAGAATTATTTTGGACAATAAGTCAGATGTCTTGTTATATAAAACAGTTTTCCACAGAAGAATTTGATATTGATCGGTCGGTTTGTATGGCAGCTATGCATATATTATAGTGATTCTATATCGGAGCTGCTGACAAATGAGCAGCTTCTTAAGGATAAAAAGTTGAATGCAAATTTTCAGATCGATATCTCAAAAAATGTGGTTCTTTTTTCGCTCCACCCTAATATATATGCCCCTTAAATACTAGAATAAAATTTGAAGCTGTATTCATTGATTACTGTGTCTGTAGCAGCTGCTAAAGTTAGACGAGTTTTTATGTGCTTGGCGATTTTCGTTGACAATTGGACTCTCCAAACGCGCGAAATTTTAAATTTTAACACTCCTGTTATTTTCTGAACACACCACGTACTTTATAGGATATCCGACGCTTGGAGTTGCGGGGGGTACAGGGTACAAAAATTGGTCCTTAATGCAAAGATCGCAGACCAATGCTGAAATATAATTATTGCATTGTTGTTGTTAAGTAAATTATACACTTAATTACCGTAATACCAAACTAATTTTAATTGTTTACAAATACCACACAAGCATAATAAGATAATCTATACAAATTTAATGCATACAAATAAGTATTCTTTATGCAAATCCACGAGAGAGTCCAAATGAATAGTCGACCACACCGACAGATATTCGAACAAATTATGGACTTAAAGCAAATCTCGCATTTCTATAAGTTTTAATGTATAAATTAAATGATATTATACGCCATATGTGTGCATGTATATATGTGTGTATGTATGTATGTCATATCACAGGCAAATCGTTTGCTCCCACCAAGACGCACGCCAACACATTTGCATACAAAGTCAGAGTTAGAGTCGAGAATTTGATTTCTGGTCTTCTTATGTTGGCACACATCGACTTTAGAAGGCATAAATTAAAAGCATACTTATGTGCACATACATATAAACATACATTATATTATTTTAGATACACATACAATTGGTATATACAATATAATATATAAGTGGAAGAGTATCCATATATACCACATATACATATGTATATATGTGACTTAAGTGCAGCTGGAGTAAAGTGCAAGGCGTTTGATTATCGCAGCAGGCATTACACTTGTGCCGAAGTATCTGTGTATATATGTGTATACATGTATGTGTGTGCGTGTGAGTTAACATGTATTCATATGTGTGAATTACTAACTCATTGCCACTTGATCCATTGGAGAATTATGAATTAATTATCACCTTTAAAGTTCACTCAGCTAAGCATTATTAAGCAGGCCATCTCCACAAACGCCAGTTGCTGGCGAGGAGCGAGTGATATTAGTTGTTGCTGTTGCAACGCTTTAAAGCTCACCATTTTAGTTGATGTAGCAAAATTAAACGCTCACAAATGCTTAGATGTCTTGTCCAAACAATGTTTTGCATGCATTC